AGACTCTGAAGACACCCTATGGAAGGCCTCACCCTCCCTGGGGAGCAGAAAGGGTTTGGGATAGGTAGGGTTTTAGTTGGGGGGAGGAGGGAAGGTAGAGGGAACTGGAATTGATATGTAAAACAATCTTGTTTCTAATTCAAATTAAAAAAAAATGGGAAAAAGAAACGAAAAAGGAAAAAAAAAAGTCCAGCTTAGAAAATTTTAGAAAATTTTCCCTCAGGTTCAAAAAAAGGAACTATAAAGAAGCAAGGAAACTAAAATCTGAAGGAAAAAGGAATTGACTCACACACAATTGCTCCTCTGCATGTTCTTTATGCTTCTTCCTTTGCTATCTTTCTATCTTGCTGTTCTGTTTCTCTGTTTCTATCTCTCCATTTCTTTGTCTTTCAAATTCTTTGTCTACGCCAGTTCTTGGCGTTACAGGTATACATACATTTGCAACAGGGATTCTTTTTACAATACAGTATGAGACTTGAGTTTCTCAGGGTCACCAAGGCAGATAAGATTTACATATAGAGCAATAAATTAAAACTGCTAGGAGAAACTTTTAGCTTTAGTTGCATAGGGCTGTGGGTCACAGAGAGGGTCTAAGTTTAATTTGCACAAGAAGCAAACCCTGGAGTCTTCCAGTGCTCTGGCCTCAGTGGCAGCACAGACCTTCAGAAAGTTTACTTTTCCCTGAGGATGAGTAAATGGGCTGATTACCTTTGACTTTATCTTTTCAGGGGAAACAGGAGGGAGCAGTAAATCTCTGTGCTACAATCTTGACTTAATAAAACAAGAAGTTTGAGAATCTTTTGAAGGGACCAGCTCCCCATTTCGGCAGCCATGACAGTAACACGTGCTCTGTGACCTTGTCTTAGTCACTAGAGGTTAGGTGCCTGCCTGGTGACAAGGAACCAATCAGAAGTTAGCTGGTGGCGGTATGCTTTATGACCCTGGGTGTACTTTATGGACAAGCACACAGCAATGACGCAGAGCATAGCAACCACCCTGGGAGGGCCTATGGGCCATAACAACCAGTTGACCAATCAACACAGGGCAAACCCTCCAAGGCTGGAGGCACACCAATAGTGAGCCTTGCGTACCCCTAGACACTCCCCTTACGCTGCCCTACAAGATTTCTTGGGAGGCCCTAGGTGTTGTCTTTGCTAGCCATCCACCATGGCGGGTGGGTGAAAGACCCTCGCTAACATGGGGTTAGCTCGTTAAAAAAAACAATAAAGCCTCATGCAGTTTGGGTGCCACTTGAATTTGCTGTTTTGTTGGTTTGGTGCCACTTGAATTTGATCTGATCCTGCGCAGGACTCATATTTGTAATTTGTACTTGTATTTGGACTCATATTTGTATAATTTGGACCATCGGGAAAGCAGACATGCGAGAAACTGTGTTTCTAGAATCCTTGGTTCCGCCCTGGACAAAAGTCCGAGGGTTGTTTGTAATTTTGGTTTGGGGCACCATTTCTTTGCCGCGCGGTTTGTCCTGTCTGATGTCTGTCCTGTTTTTGCTGTTCAAGTTTGTCTCCATACTAACCACCCCATCCCTGGATTCCACCTCAACTGTGATCAGCAGATGTGCCAGGAGGATTACAGACTGCCGCTCTGAGGACACCCAGGAGGTACGAACGGAGGCCAAGGACACTTGAATCCTCCTCAGTTAGTGGTGATTGTAGCTGCCTGGTTCTGCCGCCCATCTTCCCAGCGCCATTGCCTTATTAGCGGTGCGGGTGGATTGGGTTGGCGTCTGTTCTTTCCTGTCTATTCTGTGTTTTCATCATTGGTTTTCAATTCAGGATCCACCACGCCACCTCCTTTCTATCCCCACCTGCGGGTCTGTGAGGCATGCCAAGTGGGCTGTTTCTGCCCCAGCTGCCGTCCTGCTGTGGGTCCTGGCTTGCCTCGGGAATTTCCCTGCTCTGAGGGAACATGGCTGCAGGGCCGCCATCTGCCTGGCTGCCCGGCCTTCTCTGTGCTCCACACACATGGTAGGCAGGGGGGTTTCGGGGGTCTTTTTCCCACCCCTGCATTGGCCGAGGGTCTGGGGTTACCAGCAGCACCCCCACCCCAGTTCTCTTCCCTGAATGCGTGGAGCTCAGGCAGGTGAACTATCTGGTCTGATTTAGATGTTTCCCCTAGATATCACTTGTTCCCTGTTACCTCCATCTCTATCAATCCCTAACAACTCCTAGTGCTGTCTTGTTACTTTCCTGGTTACTGCAGTAACTCCAGGTTGTGGACTCACATCTGAAGATTTGGAGCTAGGAACTTCCTATGAGAGAGATCATGCGCTGTCTGTCTTTCTGGGTCTGGGTGACCTTACTCAATATGAGCTTTTCCAAGTCTGTCTGTTTACCTGCAAAGTGCATGATTTCAATTTTCTAAACAGCTGAATAGTATTCCATACTATATGTGTATCACACGTTCACTATCCATTCATCCGGTTCAGGGACATTTAGGTTGTTTCCATTTTATAGCTATTGTGAGGTGATTAGGAGTGAATATGGGTACCCAAGTATCTCTGGAGTATGATGTTGAGTCTTTGAGGGTTTGTTTATTCATTTGAGGATTCTCTATTTTGATTTGCAGTGTGACCTGTTTTGTTGTTGTTGTTGTTGTTGTTTGTTTGTTTCTTTTTTCTTTTCACATGGTCATATTATATCCTAGGTTTTAATTTTTATGTTTTTGCTGTTAGATTTTTGGTAGTATTCATCATCTATCTTTGTGAGAAATACTGGTTTGCTGTCTTGCTCCTGGATAATTACTTTTCATTTCTCTTTTAATTATCTACTCTTCACAAGAAGTTTATTATCTCCCATGTTCTCATGGAAGATTCCCCAGACTCTCTTCTGTATGTTTTGCCTCTAATTTATTATCTGCAGTGCTGCTTTAGTGAAATCAGTTGTGTTGTATGGTGACTGTCTTGGTCTCCATCAATTTTAAGAGAGTAGTGTTCTCTGTGCAACCAGATGCGTGATGGTGATGTCTCTCTTCAAGCTTCAAATATCTTTCCATAGTCTCCATTCTTTAGGATCATTTACCAGACACCTGGTCATATTCTCTTTATTGGGATTTTTCATGTGGTGTGACATTGTTCCCTAACAGGTTTCAGTATTACTGGTACATTCTGATCCTTTATTTTATAGGGAAGTCAGCCAAGTGTTCATTGTTCCTGAAAGAGAAACTCAAAGAAGCAAAACAGTAAGAAATGGCTAATTCTCCAGTAAATATATCACAGGTCAGTGGTCCTCTCCACTCTCTATGTATGTTCTACTTTCGTGGATTAAAAGCTTTTAATATATTGCCTGTGAGAATTTATAAAATTTTTATCCTGATCAGTTCTGTGAACAGACAACAATAAAATCATACACTGCAATAAGCAAACCCAAAGTCTATGAAACCTAGTGTAGTCTATACAGGCAGAGTCATCACAGGGCACAGAAGCTCTGGAGCTTCCCATGGGACTTCATATTTCACAACTGAATATATTTTGATTTGCTTATGTATCAGCCAAACTCCAAAAACCTTTGACAGAATTAGAACTAGAAAAGCTTTTAGCTTAAGTAACTTTTCCATAACTGGATTCATTACCTGCATTCAGTCCCTGGTAATTTAACCTACCTGTTCTCTTTTCTCCAAATTATACTGTGTCCACATTAACATTGTATCTGTATACGCATGTGATTGAGAGATAATGCACATGAACAAAAACATGGTGTTTTCTTTCTAAAAGTGATAACTGTACTGAATATTTCACATCATGGGTCTGTCCATTTCCTGGAAATTTTTGTTTTCCTATTTTTGCTAAATTGTACACAGTCTTATACAATTTTCATAATTGATTGATTCATCTGTTTATAGATGAAGCTTTGATCCTACTACTTTCCCTTTTGTGTTAAAAAACAGCAATAAAGATGGGGTGTAAATATCTCTGTAATCGGGTATGTTTTTCTCTGGGTATATGGCCAGGAGTGAAAGAGCTGTGCCACATATTAGTTCTGTCTTCAATTATTTTCAGTAATCTCCAAACTGTTTTCCACAATAGCTGTATTAATTTACAACCTCCCCTCCATCAACAGTGAATAAGGCTTCTTTTCTCTCCCTATGCCATCTCACCTTTATTTTCAGTTTAGTTGATGACAGCCATTCTGTCTGGGGTGAGTCACTATGTCCAAGTAGTTTTAATTTGCATTTCCATGGTGGCCTTTTGTGATCCTGAGCACTTTTTCAATGTTTATTGGCCAGTTGAGTTTCTGTCTTTGAAAAGTGTTTGTTTAGCCCATTTGTTGATTTGGAATTTTATTTCCTTGGTATTAAATTAATTTAATTTTTGATAAATTCTTGCTATTTGCCTTATTCAAAGTTTCTCTGGTATGGATTCTGTTACCTCTACCTTGAACATATTTTGATATATTTCTTACAGTTCCTTCAATTTAATTACTGTTTGTGCGTGAAGTGAAATACTCTTAAAAATTTCTGAAATTGTCATTTGTCTCTGTTGGCTTTTGCATATTCCTAGGGAATTTTTGAATTTAATCAAATAATGTTGATGCAGATTTTTCTCTGTTGATATTTGCCCAAATATTGTCAGAATATTAACTCCATTGGCTACTTACAGTGTTAAATTTTACAATATGTACTGCTGTTACAATACCTGTTACTGTGGGGAAAACCCAAAACTCTCCTCTATGAAATCAGTCATGTATTCTGCTGTCTATACCTTCCTCTTTCCTAATTTATGGTGTGCCATTGGACCTAGAGTGTAAACATCCCACCTGACTCTGTTAGAATAGAGTCATGGGAGGCACAAACACAGACAGGATTGATATGTGTCAGTGTTTTCAAATGATCTACAGGCACAGCATTTAAAGCAGAGACATATACAATAAGATCCTATGTGACATAAACATCATATCCATAACAGAGAGGTAACCATGTCTAAAACTTAAATTTATTTTTTGTGTCATGTATACTGCTTGTAAGGCAGTTGTTTCATCCTGTTTTTACAGAGTTGCATTATTCATGATAGAATGTGACTGTAATGAGAAATCTTATTTTTGAGTAATTATCTTAGTTCCTTCTCTACATTGTGTTGCCTTCTATCCAGGAAAGCACATCCAAGTAGCACTTGGTCAAACCATACTTTTTAATTTCAGGGTGTGTTGACATTCAGAGATGTAGCAGTGCACTTCTCCCAGAAGGAGTGGCAATGCCTGGACTCTGCTCAGAGGGCTTTGTGCATTGATGTGATGTTGGAGAACTACAGCAACCTGGTCTTTGTGGGTGAGCACATTTTGCTTGTTGAATTCCCAACCCATCTTTTGTTTGAAATTAATAGGTTGTAAAATCTGTTAAGGTTTCCTAAAAAAAACAAACAGGAGACAGTGCAGATTTAATAGTTTGAAAGAAATATTCATGCTCTTGAGGTTTCTCTTTCTTTGTATTCCATGTATTATTTTGGTTCTAAGATTCATCTGTAGACTTATAGTAGCATATGACATTTCCACTCATTTCTTAAAGCTCCATGCAATAGACTTTTTTTTTTTTTTTTTTTTTTTTTTACATTAACCAGTTTATTATAGGCCTGGCAGAGCAGAGACAGTAGGAGAGAAGAAAAACAGAGTTAAAGGCTGACTGTCATGGCTTGTGGCCAGAGAAGAGAAAGAGGCAGACAGAGAGAAGCCAATCTTTTTAATTGTGAGAAAAATTGTGAGAAAAATTCAAGATAAATTACACGGAATATTTTAAATATACAGAGGAATTTGACTAAAAATATCAATCCAGAAAACTTGTTTAAATTCCTCTGCTTTATGTTTTTATATACTGAGCCCAGTACTGTGTTGGACTTCTGTATTATCTCTAAAAGTTCTAGCATGGGTTATAGACTGCCTAAAAGAACTTGTGGATTTTTGTATCCAAGGTAATCGTGATCACCTGTCTGGAAAGAATTAAGATTGCCCTGGAATGTGGGAAGTAGAAAGTAGCCAGCACTAGAGTGGCCTCGTGAATAAGCAAGAAAACAGTGAAGGCTTCAAGTGAAAGAAAAAGCAAGAGCTGAGAGTGGCTTTTTGTTATTCAATTCCACTTGATATGATTCCTGGTCATTTAACTTAGTGTAATGTCCTGTTCCCCAGGATATATCCTTTCTGCTATAATAATTAATTACTACTTAAAAAATGTAATTTAATTTGACTGTGCTAGAATTGGACTGGAATAATTTTTCAAAATTAAAAATCTAACTTGGATCTTTGAAGTAATGTTATTCTGTAATTGCCTTCCTTTTATGCATAACTTCCTATTACATCCTTCATTTAATTCCCAGTGATGAATACAGACATCCTCTGGGAAATAATCTCAGGAGTCAGGGTGGCCCTGAAAATAACCCTATAAGGAAAGTTAGGAATCACAGTTAGTCTTGAGACTAACTGAAAGATATAAGCAATAGCTGCCCACGACAGCCCTGGCTGAAATGAGCTACAGCCTATGATGTCTGAAGAATATTGTCTTTGCATCCATTACTAAGTGTGAACACTGTAAACCTGGGGTTGAATTACACTCCTCTTGATCACTTTCTAAGAAGAAAGATTTAAAGATAAAGACATCTATTCTAGATATAATCCCTCAGTGAGCTCTGTCCTACAGCTAATTCAAAGCCATCAATTATTTTTTCCATCTTTTTCCAGTTAGAGATTTTTAATAAAGATGAGATATCTGTTTTAAATCACTGACCTTTGAAGGCTGCCATGCTGTGTTTGTGAGAATCTATAAAATTATAGTGAATGGAAACTGTCCATTACTGGATGCTCTAAACTAAATAATTCCATGTTCACGTAAGTTAAATGACAACTTAGGAAGACAGTCATTTAGTACATGTTTATTATTGGAACAAGCCCTATTAATCTTTACTGTACTCATTTTCAGAGAACTATTGCAAATGTGATCCTGGTCATCAATATGTGAAGATTGAAAAGAAGTCTTGTCAGTGTAATGCCTTTGGCAAAGTGCTGCATGATCCCTCCATATGTGCACTTTATAGAACAAGTGAAACTACAGAAAACTCTAATAACTACACATGCAGTAATCACAGGGATGCCTCTGTTGACTCATCAAACCCAGACAGACAGGAAAGCATGCACACTGGAGAAGAACCTTGCCGATCTAAAGAGTGTGAGAAATCTGTTAATTTGTGTTTCAACATGACTCAAGGTGAGAGAGTCTACACTGCAGAGAAAGAGCACAGACAGGAAGAAGGTGATGACTCTTTAAGTTCTTCATCCAGGCTTTTGCAACAACCAATTTACATTGAAGAAAATCGACACCAGTGTGGGCAATGCAAGAAATGCTTCATGACTGCTTCACATCTCAGTGATCATGAGAGAATTCATACTGGAATTAAACCCTACCAGAACAACATTGGTGAAAAATCTTTCACCCAGCTTTCTACTTGTAAAATACACCAAAGTCTTCACACTATGGAGAAACCTTATACACATAAGGAATGTCACAAGTCCTTACCTTCTAACTCAAAATTTAGAACACATCAGAAAGTGCACACTGAGGAGAAACCTTACAAATCTATCAAACGTGACAAGTTTACCGAGGACTCAAATCGTAGAAGACCTCAGGGAGTTCATAATGGAGAGAGACCTTACAAATGTGAGGAATGTGACAAATCCTTTACCTGGAATTCAGATCTTAGAAAACATCAGAGGGTTCATACTGGAGAGAGACCTTATCAATGCATAGAATGTGACTTGTCCTTTACCTGGAACTCACAACTTAGAAGACATCAGAGTGATCATATTGTGGAGAAACCTTACAAATGTATTCAATGTAGCAAGTCCTTTTTCTTGAACTCACAACTTAGAAGACATCAGAGTGTTCACACTGAGGAGAAACCTTACAAATGTATTCAATGTGACAAGTCCTTTTCCAAGATGTCACAGTTTATAAGACATCAGAAGGTCCATACTCGAGAGAGACATTACAATTGTGAGGAATGTAACAAATCTTTTAACTGTTATTCGGATCTTAGAAGACATCAGAGAGTTCATATTGGAGAGAGATCTTACACTTGTCAAGAATGTGACAAATATTTTAGCTGTTGCTCAGGTCTTAAAAGACATCAGAAAGTTCATACTGGAGAGAAACCTTACAGTTGTAGGGAATGTGACAAATCCTTTACCCAGTTCTCACTTCTTAGAACACATCAGAGAGTTCATACAGGAGAGAGACCTTACAATTGCAAGCACTGTGACAAATCCTTTACCCAGGATTCACATCTTAGAACACATCAGAGAGTTCATACTGGAGAGAAACCTTATAGTTGTCTGGAATGTGACAAATCCTTTACCTATTGCTCAGATCTTAGAAGACATCAGAGAGTTCATACTGGAGAGAGACCTTACATATGTGAGGAATGTGACAAATCCTTTACCAGATTCTCATTACTTAGAAGGCATCAGAGAGTTCACACTGGGGAGAAACCTTATAGATGTACGAAATGTGACAAGTCCTTTACACAGGACTCACATCTTAGAAGACATCAGAGAGTACATACTGGAGAGGGGCCCTGTAGTAGTTAGTTTTGTGATGTATTCTTTCCCAATCTTATCTTCTAAGGAGACATCAGATACTTCATACTGGAGAGATACTTGACATATGCTAAGATTGTGACATATCCTATATCTGAGGTCTTAGAAGACATCAGACTGTTCATACTGGAGAATGACCTTACAGTTGTAAGGAATGTGACGAATCCTTTTCCAGTTGCTCAAATCTTAGAAGGCTTCACAGTCTTCATACTAGGGAGAAACCCTACAAATGTGTCAAGTACTTTTCCCAGGACTTGAATCCTAGAAGATACGCAAGGGTTTATACTGGATGTAGACTTTACAGTTGTTAGGAATGTGACAAATCCTTTGTCCACTCTTCTACTCTATGGATCCTCTGAAGCTAGAGTTAAAAACACTTGTGAACTGCCATGCATGTTGGGAATTGAATCCAAGTCCTCTGACAGAGCAACCAGTGCACTTCACCCCTAAGCCGTGTCTCCAGACCCTAGTAAAAAAATGTAATAAAAACATGTGACTTGGTAGACATCATCACCTATGTATTTACTTGCAGGACATCCAGGACTACATAAACTCTTTCTTAAAACACCATCCTATTAAATAACATAAAATTACAAAACCTTTAGTTTATCCTTTAAATGGGCTGTATATCTCAAAATTCATACTTCTGAAAACCATATTACGGTAGAGAGTATATACTTCGCATGCCTTCTGTTTATTGGAAATTACACCCACCAAATGCATGGAATGTGACAACTCCTTTACATAGTACTGAAATTGCAGAGATAAATTCATTGTTAAGGAAACACTGATAAGTTCTACTATCCACCTTCAAATTCTTTATACTACAGTCAAACCAAAGAAACAGCAAGAAAGTAAATAACTGTGAAGAGAAGCTGTGAAAGTGACATCACTGGACTTATGAAAGAATCTTAAAACTCCCCAGTGGCTAAGAGTATGGTGACACACATCTTAATCCCAGTTCTCTGGAACCAGAGGAAGGGGTATCCCTGTGAGTTCTAGCCAAGCACTGTCTACACTGCAAATTGCAAGTCAGCCATGGTTACAGAGAGAAACCCTCTGTTGAAAAGCAAAACAGTAAGAAAAAGCAATCCCTGAATGCATGCAAGAATTCATTTTGAAGTACTTAATAAAACTTGGGAAGAATTTACTTGAAACTCTGATACAACTTCTATTAACTGCCAGGACACTTTCACCAAGGGAAAAAACTTGTAGGACCCACCTTCAGCCAAGAGGAAATGGTAATTGGCCCAATCTTACACATTTGCTTGTTCTTAGTAGGTTTTAATCAGTTATGATTCTGTGCATTACCAAGGACCTAGTGGAAGTGGAGACTTCTTTCTTCAGTGTCAAGAGTAGTACAAAAGTAAAGTACATTTTTAAACATAAATATTTTGAAGTCAGATTAATGCTCATCTTTATCAAAATATTAATAGATTCTGTTCTACAACCTATAGTTCCCAAATTGTGAATTTTGCTGTTTTTTGGTTTTTGTTTTTTCTTCTTTTTTTAAAAAGATTTATTTATTTATCTATTATGTATACAACATTCTGCCTCCATATATGGCTGCACGCCAGAAAAGGGCACCATATCTCATTACAGATGGTTGTGAGCCACCATGTGGTTGCTGGGAATTGAACTTAGGACCTCTGGAAGAACAGTCAGTGCTCTTAACCTCTGAGCCATCTCTCCAGCCCCCTGGTTTTTGTTTTTTCAAGAGCAGACTGAGTTTCTCAGTTGGGCCATGGTGGGGCATGTCTTTAATTCCAGGAGCCAGAAGTCAGAGCAGGTGGATGTCTATCAGTTCTAGACCAGACTGATCTACAATGTGAGTTCTAGGAAAACCAGGACTGTCACACAGTGAAAACTTGCCTCAAAAAGCAAATGAAAACAAACAAAAGAACAGTGTTTCTCAGAGCTAAGGAGCCAGTTTTGTCTCTTGCACTATAGACCAGGCTGGCCTTGTACTCACAGAGCTCTTCTTGCTGTGGGATTAAGAGTGTGCACCACTCCGGTTCTTCAGCCCTGCTCGGGAACATCTGACGTCGGGGGTCTGCTCACAGGATACAAACTCATCAACGAGATCCAAAACACCCAGAAACTGCCAACGGCTTCATAACAGTCCCGCCTACATCCACCAGTCCAGGTAGGCCAGGGGCTGGTTCTGGTTCTGGTTCTGCAGCCCTGCTTGAGGACACCTGACACCAGGGGTCTGCTCATAGGATCTGAACTCGGCAGTAGTGAACCAACACACCCAGAGACTACCAAAGCCCCGGTAACAGTCCCACCTCCATCCACGAGAAGAAGACAGGCATCAGAGTATTGGAACTGTTTGCATCTACCAGAAGGGAACCTTGGTCCCATACCAACCAAGAGAGGAAGACACTCCTGCTCCCCCCACCACAAGAAAGGATGAGAAGAGGACAATGTAAAAGTACATTCAACAACAGAAAAACCAATATGACACCATTGGAGACTAGGAACTATACACCAGCAAGACCTGAACATCACAATGCAGATGAAGCAGAAGAGAATGACCTTAAAAACATCTTCATGAAAATGATAGAGGGCCTCAAACAGGACATGAGAAAATCCCTTAAAGAAATGGAAGAAAAAACAACCCAAAAAATATTAGATATCAACAAATCTCTCAAGGAAACAGTTCAAGACCTAAAAGTTCAAATAGAGACAATAAAGAAAGCAGAATCTGAGGGAATGCTGGAAACAGAAATGCTGGGAAAATGATCAGGAACTACAAACCCAAGCATAACCAAAAGAATACAAGAGATGGAAGGGAGAATCTCAGGAGTTGAAGATTCACTAGGAGAAATAGACTCATTGACCAAAGAAAATCTTAAGTCTAACAAATCCCTAACACAAAATATCCAGGAAATATGGGATACCATGAAAAGACCAAACTTAAGAATAATAGGTATAGAAGAAGGTGAAGAAATCAACTCAAAGGCGCAGAAAAGTCAACAAAATCATAGAAGAAAACTTTCCCAACCTAAAGAAAGACATGCCAATGAAAGTACAAGAAGCCTACAGAACACCAGATAGACTGAACAAAAAAAGAAAGGTCTCCTCAACACATAATAATCAAACCACCAAACATACAGAATAAAGAGAAAATATTAAGAGCAGCAAAGGAAAAATGTCAAGTAACATATAAAGACAAACTTATCAGATTTACACCTGACTTTTCCATGGAAACTCTGAAGGACGTGGATAAATATTCTACCTACACTAAGAGAAAACAGATGCCAGCCCAGACTGCTATACCCAGCAAAGCTTTCAATCAATATAGATGGAGAAAACAAGATATTCCATGACAAAACCAGATTCAAACAATACATATTCACCAATCCAGCCCTACAGAAAGTTCTGGAAGGAGGACTACATCCCAAGGAAATTTACTACAACCAGAAAAATATAGGCCATAGATAACCCCACTTTACCAACAGCCAAAAGGAAAAAGGGAATGGAATCCCACATATAATTTCACCACCACCACCAAAATCCAAAACAAACAAAAATGAGCAATCAATTGTCATTAATATCCCTCAATATTAACGGTCTTAACTCACCTATAAAAAGACAAAGGTTAGCAGAATGGATAAGAAGAAAGAATCCATCCTTCTGCTTCATACAAGAAACACACCTCAACTTCACAGACATATGGTACCTAAGAATTAAAGGTTGGGAAAAGATTTTCCAATCAAATGGACCCAAGAAACAAGCAGGGGTAGCAATCCTAATATCCAACAAATTGGACTTTATACTAAAATCAATCTAAAGAGATGAAGGAGGTCACTTCCTACTCATCACAGGAGAAACCCATCAGGATGAAGTCTCAATTCTGAACATTTATGCCCCAAATACAAAGGCATCCATGTTCGTAAAAGAAACATTATTAAAACTCAAATCACGCTAAAACTGCACACACTTCAACACCCCACTGTCACCATTAGACAGGAACAACAGAGAGACTTAACAAAGAAACAAAGGAAATAATAGAAGTTACGGCGCAATTGGTCTTAACAGATATCTATGGAATATTCCATCCAAATACAATATACCTTCTTCTCAGCACCACATGGAACCTTCTCCAAAATAGACCACATACTTGGCAACATAGCAAACCTCAACAGGTACAAAAAAATTGAAATAACCCCCTGAATCTATCAGACTATCACCCTTTAAAGTTAGAAATCAGCAACAACACAAATTGCAGAAAACCTACAAACTCATGGAAATTAACAAACAATTGCACAATTCTTGGGTCAAGGAAGAAATAAAAAAAGAAATTAAAGATTTCCTAGAATTCAATGAGAATGTGGACACAACATATCCAAACCTATGGGACACTTTGAAAGCAGTGCTAAGAGGAAAGTACACAATGCTAAGTGCCCAAATGAAGAATCAGGAGAATAATCACACTAGAGAATTAACAAGAAAACTGAAAGCTTTTCAACACAAAGAACCCAATACACCCCAAAGGAGCAGTTGCCAGGGAATAAACTGAGGACTGAAATCAATAAAATGTAAACAAGGAGAAAATACAAAGAATATAACGAAGAGTTCGTTCTTTGAGAAAATCAATAAGTTAGACAAATCTTTATCCAAACTTACCAAACGGCAGAGAAGGAATATGCAAATCAATAAAATCAGGAATGAAAAGATATAACAACAGACACAGAGGAAATCCAGAGAATCATCCCGTCATACTTCGAAAACCTATATTCCTCAAAATTTGAAAATCTAAAGGAAATGGACAAATTTCTGGACAAATTTCACTTACCAAAATTAAATCAAGAACAGATCAGCAACTTGAATAGACCTATAATCCCTAATGAAATAGAAGCAGTCATCAGACATCTCCCAACCAAAAACAAAGACAAAAAACAAAAAGCCCAGGGCCAGATGGCTGCAGTGCAGAATTCTACCAGAAATTCAAGGACCAGCTAATACCAATTCTCCTAAAAGTATTCCACACAATAGAAGCAGAAGGGTCATTGCCAAACTCATTTTAGGAGGTTTCAATAACCTTTACAATTGCCACAAACAACATAAAATACCTTGGGGTAATGCTAACCAAAAAAGTGAAAGGTCTGTACCATAAGAATTTTGAATCTCTAAAGAAAGAAATTAAAGAAGATACCAGAAAATGGAAAGATCTCTCATGCTCTTGGATAGGCAGGAGCAACATAGTAAAATTGGCAGTCTTGCCAAAAGCAATTTACAGATTCAATGCAATCCCCATCAAAATCCTAACACAATTCTTCACAGAACTTGAAAGAACAATTCTCAACTTTACATGGAAAAACAAAAGTCCCAGGAAAGCCAAAACATCCCTATAAAATAAAGGAACTTCTGGAGGCATCACCATCCCTGACTTCAAGCTCTACTACAGAGCTACAGTCCTGAAAACAGCCTGATATTGGCCCCAAAATAGACAGGTAGACCAATGGAATAGAGTTAAAAATCCTGATATATTAACACACATACCTACAAACACCTCATTTTTGACAAATAAGCTAAATTTATATGATGGAACAGAGAGAGTATTTGGTGCTGGCATAACTGCATACTGGCATGTAGAATATTGCAGATAGATCCAAGTCTGTAGCCATGCACAAAACTTAAGTCCAAATGGATCAAAGACCTCAACATAAATCTAGCCACACTGAACCTATTAGAAGACAAAGTGGGAAATACCCTTGAATTAATTGGTACAAGAGACTGCTTCCTGAACATTACACCAGTAGCACAGTCACTGAGATCAACAATTGATAAATGGGACCCCCTGAAACTGAGAAGCTTCTGTAAGGCAAAGGACACAGCAAGACAAAATGGCAGCCCACAGTCTGGGAAAAGATATTCACCAACCCCACATCTGACAGAGGGCTGATCTCCAAAATATACAAAGAACTCAAGAAGCTAGTCTCCAAAACACCAAACAATCCAATTAAAAAGGTGGGGAACAAAACTAAATCGACAGTTCTCTATAGAGGAATCTAAAATGGCTGAAAGACACATAAGAAAGTGTTCAACATCCTTAGCCATCAGGGAAATGCAAATCAAAACAACTCTGAGATACCATCTTACTCCTGTCAGAATGGTTAAAATAAAAAACACCAATGACAGTTTATGATGG